CTCTCTTTCTTTCCTCTCTCATAACTTGTCGAAATGGATACATCTACTCCCTCCTCTTCATTCCTTTCTCTCTTCCTCTTCTCTTCTTCTTCTCCACCGACTTACTCTCTTACCATCATCCATTCCTTCATTACCTCAAAATCAATCAATCAATCAGTCATTCACCGGCACGTGATCATGACCCTGTCACCGCACGCAAAATATAGGTCTTGTGGTCTAGTGGTATGATTCTCGCTTAGGGGTACGCACCCCAATCATAAAAGATTTATGCGAGAGGCCCCGCGTTCGAGTCGCGGCAAGACCCTGTGTTTTTGTTTTTGTTTTTTTTTTTTTATTTATGCTTTTACTTTCGATGAATCCTAATGAATCTACATCTTTTTTTGATATGATTATGATTTATATTCCTTGTTTCTTTTGATGGACAATTGGATAAGGAGAGGGAGAGAGAGGGGAAGATATATTATTCAATTTGATACGATAGCATTGGCATTGACTTTGCGATTTGTCGTCCTTTAGTTTGAACAAGAAGAAGAAGAAGAAGCAAGAAGTTAAGACGATAAAGAAGAGAGGAGAAGAAGAAAAAGTCTTTCAATAAAAGAGAAACAGCATCACATAGAGAGGAGTAGAAGGAAAGAAAAAAAAAAAAAAAGAGACTCTTGAACATGGGAGAAAACAAGGAAAAGAAAAAAAAAAATAAGAAAAAAAAAAGAATTCAAAATCATTTAAAGCCCGATATCTCTTTCCTTCCTGCCAATTCTGTCCTTTCCTCGTGTCTTCCCTTTCATCCCACCTCCTCCATGAATTACATATGGCGGAATTGATCAGGGAGAAGGGGGAGAGAAAGAAAGAAGAAAGGATGAGAGATGAGAGATGGAAGGAGGAAGGTATAATAAAACAGAAAAAAATAAAATAAAAGGAGATAAAAAGGCAAGAGAAACATTAAACAAGGGTGCCAAACAAGGAGAGAGAAGAGAGTAAGAGAGACAGACAGAAAGAGAGAGGAAGGAGTGAAAGAAAAAAAAAAAAAAAAACAACAACAACAAATCCCCTCCTCCACAGGTCATTTATATACTTACAAAACCATCGCACCA